ACTACTATGTCCGTAAACTGTGACTTTCATCCACAGTCACTGAATTCTTTACCTTAATTTCAACATGGCATCTACAGTTCTATTCTAAATACCTGGGAAGCAATGTCTCAAGTCCCTGATCGTGGCTAGACTTCTATCTGTTATCCTAATTGTTCTAATGTACAACATGCAGCTAAAGCAAAACTAGCCTGTACCGTTAGGCAGAAGCCTAGAAAATGGAAAGGCTCAGGCATTAGTTCTGCAGTATATTCTCTGTTTTGTGGAGTATGCAGGAAGGTTACAAGAAATGAATGGACTTCAGGTTCTGCTCTTAGGTATTTAAAGACCACTTGTTCCATAAACCTGTCAATCATATGGCAATCATCAAATAAACTGTGACAGATTCACCACTTTGTGGCATATGTGGGTTTTTCTATTGCTTTATCATCAGTAAATTAGTCCAGGCCATCAATATAAGAGGAAGTACAACCCACCATAAACCAATGGCCATACTTTTGCTGATTTCTTGATAGCAATTCAATAAAGGATAAGCTGGTGCTTTGGTATTTTTAGCTTATCCTGTGCCAGTCTGTCACATGGTCTCCCTTTTCTCTTCCTGTTGCCACTGTCTCTTCCTGGTCTATGTTAACTGGGTCAGACATTTCAAGAAGAATAGAATGGGGGCTACTTAACAATCTGCTGTCAAGTAGCCATGCTGTCCCAGGAAGAGGGGCACCTGACAGAGCTGCAGGAGAAGAGCAGGTAGGAGAACGTGTCAGGCAGTCTTTTGTTTCTTCCCACCTTGGCCTCCTCACCCTTCCTGCTCCCACCCTACACTCTCTCTGTTCAATCCAATTATCTTTCCTTTGTGAGCAGTCTGTTAATTCTACTTGTACTATTTTAAGTTTGTTTTTTTATAGCCTTAGAATTCAGAAATTTCACCAGGATTTGGTCCTCTCCATATTATTTCATGAATGCTGTTTCATTAGCCCAGCAGATTATTTTTTCTTTTTTTTTTGCATTCTTTTTTTTATTGAAGTATAGTCAGTTTACAATGTGTCAATTTCTGGTATACAGCATAGTGTTTCAGTCATATATACATATATTCCTTTTCATATTCTTTTTCATTATATATATATTCTCTCCCACTGCTGCACAACACAAACTGCAGGGACATTCTTCTCTTACTTTCTCTTTGTGTATCTCCCAGGTGGGCTGGCTTTCCCCATGCTCCCTTCCCCAGAGTTCACCCCCATCAATTCCCAGCTACTCCCATTTATATTCTGTCCTCCACCTGCACCTTCTTTCAAGAACTCAGTGTCTCACTGCATGTGGAACCTCTTCAGGTTTCCAAGATCAGCCCTTGATGCTTTTGGACAGCTATAGTCTCCAGAATGGAATATAAGGCAAGGTTACCAACTTCCCACAAACCAACATCCAAAAATTTAAAAATCATTTTCAAATCTTAGGACGAGAACACATTACTGGAAGATGAAATTATATTATTACTGCTTTCCTAAATCACACCTCTAGAAATGAAATTTGTATGGAATATTTTGTATTACAAAAACATCAGGATATGGTCACATGAACATTTAGCTTTTATGATATCCATTGAATGTTCACTTCTGATTTACCAGCCTCATCACTTATCTGGTTATTGCAAACCGGCTCATATCATTAGCTAATTTTTCATAATAGTTCTGATAATCAACACTAGCTGTCCACTACGTGTCAGGCACTAAAGCAAGTGTTTTGAATGTACAAAGATGTTAAATTCTCACAAAACCCCTTGAAATAGGTGCTATTGTTTCCAACATATTATAATATAGAAATCAAGGTCCTGAGAAATCAAGTAACTTCCCAAAGTCATGCAGCTAGTAAGATGCTTTATTCCCTTAACCAAATAATGAGCTACTTGAGCTCGCATCTTCTATTTCCCTGAATCCCCTACTGTGCTTGGCGCTCAGGTCCTCTGCAGTTATTGAGAGAACCAGCAATGTTTTATTCGTATTTGATGCCTAGAATACGGTGCTATAACATGAAATCTTCAAAAAATGTTTTACTTACAGAAAAGTATTATCAGGCTGATGAGATTTAAAAAGCAAATCCACATAATATAACTTGAAACTGTTTACAGAGACCTGGTTCTCAGCCACTAACCTGAGTTCCAGGGATCCAGGGATCCAAATATGAATAAAATGTTGCCTCTGTCCTTAAAACACAAGTGACCTGAAGAAAAAGCAGATACATAAGCAAATAAATATAATAAAATGTTATTGTTTTTTAAATGTATATGTAAAGTGCTAAGGGACCATACATGAAAATATTAATTTTTCCAGTGAGATTGTAAGTTTTTTCTTTTCTTTAATTAACAATAGACACAAACATAGAAATAAACACTACTGTAAAGTTTTTTTATTATTAAGTTCATTGCATCAATCTACAAACACATTCGTTAATATAAATGACAAGGTAGGCTAATACTACTAAAAGTTAGCCATCTTTGAAAAAGAGATATTTTAACATTGAAAGATTTTTTTGATTGCTACAATCAAGTAAATCCTAATGTGTCTTAATTTATTTTTACTTTTTAAAAATATATTATGATTTGTTCATATCAAAAGGGAGCACAGATTAAATACTGAACTAGAATAAGTGGTCCCAGTGTTAGGACACCAATATGAAGAGGACCCTACAAGGGCAGTTTGCTCAACGTCTTTAGTTAATAGACAAGTACCCATCCACACCATCTGCTTCACATTTACATATCTAGGTACACTTCCATGACATAAAGCCTTGAAGACCAACATATCTCTTAAATATTTATTGTGAATAATAAAGATGTTACTCAAAGATAGAAAATCCACTATTTTAAAAAACATAAACTTAAAACTCAGTTTTTTTGTAATTTCATCCTGTTGTAAGTGGCAAGTGGACTTCTAACATTAACAAGGATTCTAAATGGCTTTGTAATACTCTTGTATAACTTCTGCAATATTTATAGTTTAAAAATTCCAATAATTGATAACTACCACTGTGGCTCTTTGGGGTCAAAATGATCACATTTTCATAAAGTTATCTGCATTTCTCACAACACATAGTCATTGTGCTAATGGATTTGGTTGGGACAGGTTAGAACTGTCTTATAAAATTCTACACTGGTTTTCCTGAAATTGGTGAATAACTTTCCATAGAGATAATGCTAAAACCCACTGAGCTCCCTGTTAACATTACTACTATAGCATGAAATAGAGAGGGATTTATATCAAATGTAAATAATTATGAATATTCCTTATCATGTAATTAACTACAAATAACATTCTCCACATTAAAGCAAGCATATGAGCTATTATTTGGGCCCGTTTGGATGTATTTATATATAAATGCAAATAGTTTATAAATTTTCTGATACATCAACCTCTAGGGAAAGTATAACAGCTTGGCTGACATTCCTACCTGAATGGCTTTTGCTACGTATTGCCAAGCTCATTCACTGCTGTGACCAGTATAGGATATAGGGTAGAGATTATTTTTAGGATCCCAAATTAATATGGGTTCAAAGGTCATGAGAATAGATTCACTATGTATGAAGAATGACTTCGCCATTAAATTAAATTTGACATATCTGGAAAAGTCCAAAGGGCTGTAATTTCAGGGGAAAAACATTTTTCAGGTCCTTTTGTCTTGTCTTTAATTCTCATTCTGACAAAAGTGTATCTCTATTTACAGACTCTATGTCAAAGTGTCAAGGAAATTTTGACCTCTCAACTAGACATCTCCAAATATAACACGTAGTTTTACAACATCCAAAATGCTACATGTGTTCTGATGTTTGAAAAGTCCTGAGTGAACTCTGACAAGTAAGACTCACCTCAGGTGCAAATGCTTCAGGACAGCAGCTACCCTGGGCAGGCGACCTATCATAAAGATCGCACAGGGAGGAATGGCAGTGCCCCTTTCAGGTCCACATCTGCTGCCCAGGTTTCCTACTTGTGTTGCTGTTGCCTTTGGGCATGAAGCTTTTTCTTTTTCTAATACTGGAATGAGAAAAGAAACAGGTTTTCATTTTTGTTTTTTTACCTTATCTCCAGAGAGTAATAGGGAAACTCAAACTTACCATGAAGCTCTGACGAGATGAATCTTAAAAAAGAAAGGGAAAGATGTTTTATTTTTCTCTAACCCAAAAGGACTCTCTGTGACTATTGACCCAGAGTGTCTCAAATTAGATGTCTATCCCCTAGAATCAAGGGCCATCCAGTGGGTAACTGTTGGAATAAATCAATTGTTTCTATGATGGGTTCCAGGTAACTCCCCACTTCCTGGGTTAACTTTGGATCAACTTTGGAGTTCCCTAAAAGAAAGAGCTATCAAAGGAGTGAATGCTCTAAGTATGTCTGATCTTTCATCCAGCTGACCAGACCAACATCACAGGTACAGGTATGCGGTATGGAAGCACTGGATGTCCCAACAGGGACAGTGCCTTCTGTACCCTGGCAGAATGGCAGCATAATGCATACTTGTTAACTGACTCACTGAGATAGGACACCACATAGGGTTTCATGTCTTTAAAAGATTGCTCTTAAGAAGTTGCTTCCTCATTCAGCCTTTCAGCCCTTGGGCTTGCTCAAGTAGGTCAAAGAGAAACTGGTTTTCTTGCATCATCTTGGCATTCTCTGGAGATAACTACCTTGGAGTAAAAAATGTGATTACATAAGTATGCACAGAATGAGCATTTGTTCTGGGTTGCCTGGGACAGTCCAAATTTAAGCTCACTGCAGGATAATTATTAATAATGCTCTTGTTTCCTCTCAAAAGTGTCCTAGTTTGGATGATCAACTGCATGATCACCTTAACAAAGGTCTTTAGTAAGATCAGTCTGCGGTACTTACTTGGTGACAATGGCTCCCAACTTCCCCTTGGTTTAACCAAGACTCAGGATCCACAGATCAAAAGGAACTTCATTTCAGAATATTAAAAAGCTTCTCTATTTCACATATAAGCCTGTGGTTACTGTACTATTTTAGTAATGACCAATTTTAATGGATTCGATTTATATATTTTCATCTCCTCCTTCCAAAAGAAAAAAAGAACAATGCATTTTTCTCAAGCAAAAAGAAAAGTGGCAACAACACAAGAAACAATAAACATATAATATTTTTTCATTAACAATCCAAACACTACAAAACATAGAATATACAGCTTAAAAACGGAAATACAAATTAATGAAAAACGGGATACATGTCATATTAGCAATGCAAAAGACCAGCTTAAGCATAGTTTCTCTAAACCAACAATTAATAAAAGGAAAGTGCCCTTTTCTCAAATATGCACAAAAATATTTCAGTCACTTCTAGGGAAAAATTAATCAAAAAGTTCTGCTAATTCTATATTACAGCATGTATTACTAATGGTTTACAAAACTTAAGCATCATCTTACACCTAAAATTTACAACCTTTTCCAATCAACTTTACACTCATTCAATGCAATCCGTCAAAAATAAAATTATTTCATTTCTGCATTTATGAAATAATTATTGATATGTTATGGATGTCAAGTGGCGAATGTGTATGACAGGGACAATGATCAGAATAATGTCACGGATCTAAAGTGAGCCAAGGGTCAAGCAGAGAGAGAAGCCGCTCTGCCTGGCACATCTGTGTACTGAGTCCTGCAACAATTCTAGTATTTCTAAAGTAATGCTAATTTCCTCATTCTAATAAAAGGCTAAAGTTTTCATATTGAAATTTGCTATCCACCTCCAGAGTTTATTCAGTCTCCCCAGATAGCCACTTGGGTTCCTGCTGGGATTGTTATCCTTACAATTCTGAGTCCAGTTGAAGAAAAGGTTAAACCATAAGGACTCAATAATATGCCCCTATTCTTCTACATGTTGAGCAATCCACACTCTTATGAAGTAAATTTTATGGTAAACTGCACAATCCTAGGTACAGCTTGATGATGCAAATGGGAAAGAAAATATTTAAATTTTAATTTTTCAAGCAATAGTACCTATATCCACTGTCACCTGCATCTTTGAGAGAGTCTTGCAAGTTCATGCTTTTAGCCAAGATTTTACAGTAAGTCATGCTTCATGGGTGCAGTTTTAAAACTAACAAGAATGGCAAATCACACTGCTATCTCCTTCGGGGCCACCTGTACAAAAAGGATGGACGGTCAGTCAGCCTCAGCTTTGAGCTTCCTGGTTCACGTCCAACAACTGCCTACCAAGTAGATTAACATTCACATAAGGTGGCAAACTCAAGGATGGAGAAGAACCGAACTGCAGTTCTGGAAAGGGCTCCAGCCGCTCCCCAGTGGTCCTTTGGTGTCATTCACTACTGCTGCTGCTGCTGCTGCTGCTGCTGCTGCTGCTGCCATCCTCTTGCTTGGGGGAGGATGAACTGTCTCGGACTGGCAGCAGGTCATAATGGCAAGGGATGTGACTGTTCTTTGGGAGGTCATACGGATCCTGGGTGAGATGCCCATTATTGCTGAATATTCCTTGGACAACACTCACGGTAGGTTCTGTGACAACCAGGGACACATTAATTCATCAGCAATGGATATTAAAAAAAAAAGACTATGGCATTTCTTGCAAATATCAAACATACCAGAGGAGATTTAAGAACAGTATAAGAAAATATTATTTTTAAAAACAAATGCTCCTTTTACAATCACAGTGAGGTGGCACCTATGTGGTTGGTAGACCCACTGACAAACACAAACGGTGTTCAGAACAAAGGGTGACTGTATGGTTGGGATGCAGACATCAAGGGAATATAAAATCCTGGATACAAATCACTGTCAAAAAAAACCTTGCAGATAATCTAGTCCAAACCCCGTTCTCAACAGGTAACAGCAGTAAGGTCCTTCTGGGTTCACTAGACTCACAGCCACACGGAACAAGTTCACAACTTTAGGACTCAGGCTGTCAGGTGAGTTCCCATCTTACTTCAAAAATATATTTAGTTCACTATGTCTTCCATTTTAAAAAGCTGTCCTAATACTTCAAAAAGACTTCTATGTCTTTTCAGTGATATGTCTATGGCATAAAATGAATTACTACTGACTAGAGTTAAATGAGTTAAATGCTCCCCACCCTCAAAAGCTGCAGCTGAAAATCCACACATAACTTCACAGTCAGCCCTCCTATCCATGGTCTCACATCCTTGGATTCCACCAACTGTAGAACTGTAGTATTTACTGTCGAAAAATATCTATGTGTAAGTGGACCCATGCAGTCCAAACCTACGTTATTCAAGGGCCAACCGTAGTAGAGAATTTTTTCAAGTTTAAATCGTAAGTACTGAGACAGAGATAGAGAGAAAGAAAAATGAAAATATAAAGGCCTACTGTCTAGCCAAAGGTGCGCTGATATGTTTTAACTTTCCTCAAATGGTATTTGCAAGGGACAATCAAAATAACGTTAAAATTAATTGAATTCTTATTAATTTGTATCAGATTCATATCTAAAACTATTACTGATTTATTGGACAAATTTAAAAGTAAAATGTTCCAATCCTGCTAAAAGCATTATGTTAATATAATGAATGCAACCAGGAAATGGAACCACCTGTATAATCCACTTGAACCATTTGTTTTGGCTAAGTCGACATATTAGCTAATATGATACATATGTTATTCCACATGCGTGCTAAAATATTCACTATGGTTACAAAACAAAAGATGGATAACCAGGTGGGAGGGAAGGAAAAACTTACTTTAAATTTTCTAAATAGCATTTTCCCTGAAAAGTTCATTTGACACCAACTAATAGGATTACCATAAACACAGGCTGCATTTAAAATACGAACAATTATTGTCATTAAGGTTTATATGAACTGCAACTATTGTATTCTCAAGGACTTTACAACTGTTTCAGAATAACTTCCCTGTACACCAGGTTCTTTCTCTGGTCAGGAAAACTCACCAACTTCATAGACATTCTTGTGGGCAGAAGTTGAGTTATTGATCTCTGCATATGGGGAATCTCTCCGTGCTGGTGACTTCATCTCCACATACCCACACTCTGAGTGTTTGGGGATAAGTACAGGTGGGTCTTTAATGGTGGCATATGGGTTTTCAGAACTGCTTAGGGAGCAGTTACTTGAATTATATTCAGAATTCTTTCCCAGGTCTGTGAAGAGAGATGGAGGGGAAAAAGCAAATGTTATTTCATGGGTAACATGATTTATCTTCTTGGTGATAATTTACTTGGGCAGATTACTTCTTTTCCTTTGTCGCTAGTTTTCTATCATTTTTAACAATGAAAATAATGCTATCCATTTCCACCAACTTCGGAGAGAATCTGCTATAAAATTACCCATCTATATAGTGATTTTAGCTCCTCTCTAAAGTGAGTACCAATGTAAACATCATGGACTTGATTTGTTTTTATCATCACACTCAAAGAAACTTAATTCCACTCTACTTTACTAATAGTCTCTGAATTCTCCAAGATATCCATCAAGACACCAGCTGTTGCTGGCCCCATAAGCACAAGAAGGTTCTATTATCATGGTAAGAAAGGCACCTGGGCTGTCAGGATCCTTGTAAACCTCAGTTCTGGGCACATGAAGTTATCACTCAAATTCCTCTTGAAAAGCAGGCTTCAAGTGAACATGTAACCAGGTTGATCTCTTCCTTTTTTTCCCGCTATTTGCTTTTTCACATTTCTCTCTCTCCAGAAGACATATTTCTTTGAAAGGAATTATGAGTGTTTTTTTCAGCAAACTGACACCTTTATTTACCAAGACTTTTGCTCTAACAAGATCCATCTATATTCACTCTCTTGCTGTCAGTCAAACATGTCTGTGTGTTTGTTGGAGCAACTCACCACATGAATGATTTTTTATTTTCTCTACAGTGCCACTTTTGCTGGTTTAGCAAATTATTTCTATCTCAGATTAAAAAAATTGTGATTCTGATCAATGTATTTCTTGGTCAGATTTCCACCATACCTTTCAAGGACTTTCCCATATAACTTCTGTCAAGTCCAAAAGCACCTGTGATAAAGGAAGAAAAAAAAAATACCCAGTGAGAACCAAAAGGAAGAGAAAATGCATCTAATATTCCCAGATCATTGGAAGAAGATGGTTTGGGCACCCACAGTCTCCCCACCACAGGGAACACCCAAGACTGCTGCTTTCCAAACCCTGACACCAGATCACGTGTACCAGATGTCTCAGTGCTTAGAGGTTAAAAAAATGTTATATACATATATAATATACATAATATATACATATGCATACATACATATATAATACACACACATATATATATAAACTCTGAGCATTCTCCTGCTCGTTTCAGTGACATTGGGAAAGTCCAGTCAATATGGAGTAGAAATAGAAGCATGAGTGAATCAGCACGCTTGATTCAAGGTTGCTAAGTGAAAAGGACACAGCCAGGCTAGCATGGCGACAAAGGACTGGGATTCCATCACATGTCAGCTATGTGACTTTGCCCAAAGTGTTCAACTCTCTGAGTCTCAATTTTCTTACCTCTAAGATGGGGAAAACACAACCTACCTTACAGGTTGTTGTGAAATTTAAGTGAAACAGAGCACAGGGAAATGCCTTGTAAATGTTGAAGCATCACACAAAAGAATGGTGAGGAACTATAACACTTACTGTGTTATATAATACCCTTAGCTTCAGTCTACCCATAAGCATTCCAAGGCATTTGCAATTAACCTTTAAAGGAGTATTATGGACTTAAGTTAAAAACAGAGTAAAACAGTAACTTGTGATGAACATTCAAATAAATATGAGAATGGTAAGGAAATGACCCCCCCTGCATACACTTCTGCGCATGCCTTTTTTAGAGTGATGTTAAGCTCAATTTCTGAAGGTGATGTCCCACGGACACACACTCTTCTGGAGAAAGAGGGAGGATCCTCAAAGGGAGAGTGTGTGTCTAACATCAGCTGCTGTAGGACAGGAAAGGGGAACGTTTCCCTCTCTCAGGTACATCCTCTTGGGTCTGATGGATGAAGTCTAGTCAAGCCAGCTCCCAGCTGGTGGGAAAGGCACCAAGTTGTGCAGGGAGACAGGATAAAAAGATGTGTTGTGAAGAATTAACCTTATCAAAAAGAGGTCTGGCCTGTGCCTTTGGCTCCTGGGAGGTGATCTCTAAGTCCCTGGAATGTCCTGCCTGAAAAGAGTGTTTTTTGTTTACCTGGGGGTCTGGATAGTCTAATAAGGTGACCTATGGGAGTGGGTTGGTATCAGTTCAACCTCCAGATGGGCTGAAGACTAAATCAACTACATGGGCAGTCAGCCATGTCTCTGTGACCAAGTCCCCATCAAAATTCTAGACCCCAGCGCTGAGGTGAGCTTCCTTGGTAGGCAACACTCTGTGTGTACTGTCACATACTGTAGCTGAGAAAAGTTAGTATTTCCCAGGATTCCACTGGGAAAGGACTGGAAATTTCATGCTTTGAAGTTTCCTGGAATCTGCCTCCTGGGTCTCTTCCCTGCTGATTTGAATCTCTATCCTTTTGCTATGATTAACTACAACCATGAGTATAACCGCTATAGTGAGTTCTGCCTTTCTAGCAAATCATTGATCCTGTGGGTGGTCCCGAGAACTCTCAAACTTGGAGTTGGTATCAGAAGTGACGGCGGTCTTAGGGATCCCCACGAAGAGAAGAGCCCAATCAAGGAACTCTGTCTAGTTATTCTTTTCATGATTTCCTTGATCATCTCCAAAGTGTAATGAAGTCTTGTTAATGTCCATCTTGGTCTTAGCTACGCAATGGTTAGCCTTGCCCAAGGGCTTAAAGAGAGGAGCAACATGGGGCAGATAGTAAACTAGGGAACAAGAGTTGGGCTATGAGACCAGACACTCATGCCAGATTCCCTCTTCCCTGCCCTGGAAGACCAGGGTGCAGTTTTAACAAGGAAGTAGGTGGGCTTCCTCATAAACTCCCCTCTGTCTCAGTCCCTGAACAGGGGCTTTCATATGCTTAAGTTAATCTACTTCCTACAATGAGCCAGAACATGATCATTATCTCTATTTTACAAATGAACAAATCAGTCTCGAGAGGGTGACTGGCACAATGTCATATCACTTAACCAGGAATTGATCTCAGGGCTTTGGTGTCAAGTTCAGGACTCTTTCAGACAGCATACAACTTCTCCATCATTTAAAACACCCATATACTTCATTATCCATAACATGCCTTAGTCTGTTCTTTGTAAGAGAAGACTGTTTCTATGCAGCAACTTTAAAGGGATATTAAATGCAGAACTACTTTCGGACGGGAACAAACCAAAGAGATTCAGAATTTCTAATGAAGATTTTATGTTCCTGGTCCCTTGGGTCTCATTGATACAAAAAGGAGAGCAATTTGTCTGTAACCATTATAGTGACTGTGTGTTCTGGAATCAGGACAAACTCCATTAAGTGGAGATGGAACCAGAGAGCTTTTCCCTCATTGGTGCCAGGTGGCATTTTACTAACATCAATTCATATACTTCTATGTGCTAGATTATTAATGTAACTCGGACTTTTCAATCTCCATAAAGCTAAATGATTTCACCAGTAAGTATCTGGGAATCTGGTATATAAGGAATTTCACTGTAAGTGTGTAGAAATACACACCCTATTGACAATGTTGGTTACAGAATGCAGACAAAAGTTAAAAATTTGTACTAATTTCCTACTTAAACATTTGCATTTCTGTAGTAAGAAGGGATTCCAGAGCCCACAGGGATTGGCTCCTACATCTGGCTCAGGTGAACTGACATATATGGTGTTCACAGAAGGATCATACGGGAGCCGTCAGAAGACCAACTCTGAGAGCTTGTTTTACTCCCTGCCTTCTATGAAATATTGAACAAGAGAGTTAACCTCTCTGTTTATTCCTCTATAAAACAAGATCTGTGGAAGGGCCCCCACAGTAGGGGTGCCACATTTAGCAAAAAAAAAAATAGAAAGTCCAATAAAATTTGAATTTTAGAGAAAACATGAATGGATAGTTTTTGGTATAAGTATATCCCATGCATTATTTGGGATATATTTATATAAATATTATTTGTTGCTTATCTGAAATTATAGTTTAATGGGATTTCCTGGCAACCTTACCACCAAATAAATGCATGTGAAATAAACACGTATTGCCCATAAGGCACTGCATACGTGTCAGTTACTATATCCTGGGGCTCCTCCCTGAAGATAAGGGAATGCACCACAGGTTCAAAGGTGTATCACAGCAGTTCTCCAGGTGCAGTCCAGGAATTCCCATCCCCTTTGCAGGAGGGCCAGGAGATCAAAACTATTCTCATCAGTAACATGACATTATTTGTCCTTTCCACTCTCATTCCCTCTCTAGCGCGTGGTGGAGCTTTCTACCAGCTACACAAAGCGTGAGATCACCCCTGACTGAACACAGAAGCAGATATGAAAATCTAGCTGTCCTCTGTGAAGCCAGATGTTAAAGAGATTTCTAACAGCGTTGAATAGTGCCACTCTCCTAAAATTTTTTTGGTTTTGTTTTGGAGAATGTAGTTATTTTTCATAAAAATGCATTTTATGTTATCATGAAATGAGACAGTTATTATAAAATAAACGAATAAACAGCTCTTTAAAACACTGTCAGATTTTATCTGTAATATAGTAAATGCCATGTCAAAAGGAGCTCTTTGGGATCCTCGATTGCTTTTAAGAGTGTGTCTGTGTGTGTGTGAAAGGATCCTGATTCCCAGACGTTTGAGAACAACTGACTTAGTCTATTCCTGTTGATACCTCCATTGCCTCACCTAGAAGGGGAAGGGGCCACAAGTAAGGGTGCCCCAGATTAAAAGAGAGCAGAGAGAAGCACACACCACAGAACCAAGCCAACTGGGTTCAAATCCTTGCTCTATCATTTAACAGGCTTTGCAAACTTACACAAGTTACTTAACCTCTTCACGACTCAGTTTCTCAGCTGTGACAGGGAGATGATGATGATAATGGTACCACCTGTAACAGCTCTCGTGAGGATTAGGTGAGTTAGCACACAGAGCGGTGGAATGGAAGCTCCAGCAGGCAGAGATCCTTTTCTCTTCTTCTCAATTTCTGGCTCATAGTAAGAACTCAATAAATGTTGAGTAACTAAAGCACTTAGGACAGTAACAAGCCCCAGACAGGGGTTAGGTATAATCCTACTACTCTGTTTCCTCGTGCCCATTTGCAGTAGATAACTCTGGCACTGACATGAATCTATGCCTGTCTGAGGTCACGAAAAGATGAAGATGCTTGTGAGCTGGGGGGCGGGAGGACTTGCCGAGCTCGTTGAGGTAGCCGCCGTGCTTCCAGTCCGCAGGCAGCGTGCCCGTGTAGTCCACCACAGGGCCTCTCTTCCCCGGATTCACATTTTTCAGATTCACAAACAGCTGGTTGTTTTTTGACTGTTAAAAATACAAACAAAAAATTTTTTTAAAACTTAAAAAAATACAACGTGGCACAGTGCAGTGTTACCCACAGTGCAGGGGAAAGCAAGTCATGTACCCTGGTCCTCACATGAGGATGCACCCAGGGGGAGGTGACAGCCTAGAAGCAGGTGGGACTCAGAGGCAGCAAGAGTATATGTCCCTCGGCCCCCACTATTCCCTCCACCGCCTCAGCTTCTTCATTTCTCACCGTTGCTCTCTGCCCATTGGAACTCATTTGGTTACATACTTGGAACTTTGAGTTGAAAAACAAAACAAATTCTTGGTCTGAGCTCTTCCATCAAACACTGTATGATTTTTTTTTTTTGGATTTTCTAATTTCCATTAGGTTTTGTTCTAAATGCGTTACTTGTATTAGCTTATTTACTCTTACAGTACTCCCTTGAGATGTGTGCTATTTTATCTCAAATTCATAGATAATAACATTGACACATGTTACAGTTTTCTCAAAGCCACATGACTAATGGAGGCAGAGAGACAGAGGCAGAATCAAAATTCGCTTTAGTAGGCTCTCAAGTATTATTTGTTGATGGGAAAAAAGAATGAAAGAATCATGAAGATAATTACACTGCAGTGTGACAGAGGTTAACATTTAACCTTTAACTTATCACCATAAAAAGGACACTGTTACTATCCTCATTGCATACATGAAACACTGTATGATTTTGTATGAGTCACAAGTGACTCTCTGTGATTTTCTCAGCTATAAACATGAGAATTGGGTGATCTACTTTGCCTTCCTCCCTGAATGTGAACGAGACGAAATGGTATGATAAAAATCAAAGTCTCCGCAGGATGTGACGTGCTATTTAACTGTAAGGCACTGTAATTAAAATCCATCTGCATTAATTTAATCTCAACTGAATTAATTTAATTAGCTTGGCCTTTTTTTCTAAGAGGGCTGGAATTAGACAATGGGGTTAGAAATATAATTCGGGTGCAGTTGGAAGGGAGAAAGGTCTGGGATTTCAGAGCGCTGTGGAAGAGAACTGGGGGCGAGCCAGGTGGTACCAGAGGAGCTGCTCTGGGTTCTAGACAGCACCGGGTCTAGAACCTCTGTAGGCATCTGGAAAATGGGATAGTCACTCTTGTTTCATAGGATTGGTGTGAAAATTAAATGAGTTTATATTTGTAACATGATTAGAAATGCTTGGCACATAGTATTAGGTTGTTTCTGTTTGATAATTTTTGACAAAAATTCAACTTCAGGTGGTTCAACCTAATACCGATTTTTGCTGTTGCGTTACTTAAGCACAGGCGGCCAGGGGAGGGCACTGCAAGATAGGTGGTGAGAAAAGACGGAGCTGGCGATTTTGCCCAGGCTCGAGGCTCTTATAGTTCTGCTACGAGACAGTATTTTAAGACCTCGTGCAATATTAGAAACACGTTTCCAAAGAGGTATAATGGAAACAGCAGAAACTGTCGAGACAGGGAGACGGACTCACATCACAGCTGCTTCACGCATGAGCTATGTTGGGAAGTGACTTAAATTCCCCATTACTCAGGTTTTTGGGTCAGTCAACTGGAGATTCCTAACACACAGCCACAGGATTGTATAGAGATAACGGATGAACAGTGCAGAGCACCGCAGCTGGCAAAAACACACGTGCTCCTTCCTCCCACCCCTGCGTACCCTCAGCGATGTGGCCCACGTCCTCTCACCTTCGCGATGGTCATCCTGTCCCTGTTGTTGACATGAGGGGACGTGGCACACTGGGTGAGAGTGTGGTAACTGGGATTGGTGAAGTAATGGCTGTTTGCATTCCCACCGCTGCCGTGAGGAAGGGTTTCTGCCAGAAGAGAAGGAAATGGTTAAGACGGCAGACTCCCTAAGTGTGTGTGGGAAAGAGGGCAGCCAGAGCACAAGAACAAATGTCTGGACCGCTTCCACATCACAAGTGGGGCAGAATCCCCTCCCGCCCGGCATACTCAGCAAAGCTTCGAGAAACCGCAGGCATCCGCCCTCCTACCTGCCTTCTGGAAAAATGTGGAACTATGCACAAGCAACTGCTCTTTGCTCTGGGGCTCGTGCAAGCTGGGAAGGCGTCGCTTTGAAGCTACCTTCAGCTTGTGGCTTTCCTCTCTGTTTAAACACTTGAGTTCTTGACACAATATTCTACACTAGAAAGGCAATGCTAAGTAAATCAGCTACCTTATGTATTCCCCTACAATCACTTCACTTATAAACCTATTATTGACCTGAAATCCTTCAGTGATTGCACCCAAATTAGTAAATATCTTAAGTTTCCAAATTCCTTCATTATGTGGTTACTTCTTCTGAGGATTGAGGGTGTCACTTAAAATTTTAGTTTTACGGTGTCTTGTGACAAAAAAGATTCGAAAGAGTTTCTTAAAGAACAGATTTGGTTCTTGCTAACACCAAAAAACTGTTTCTTAAATAACCTGGTTGCTGTGCGGCTAATGATTTGCATGCGCGTGGGGACAGGCTGGACGATACCTTGGGAGAACCCAAGGCCAGAGACAAGAGACCTGGTCCTCGTCCCTGATCTGTTCCATGACCTTGGTAAAGTCACGGCCACCTCCCTCTCTCTGCTTCCTGTCCCCTACATGTGACAAAAGCTTGGGACTGGGCACCCAGCAAAACTTCTTCCTGGTTGAAATTCCCAAAGTCTACAGCAACCACACAGTGGATTCAATTTTCAATCCCTCTTAGAAGACAACAGTGATGGTCTCACCACTGTTGACGTACAAACCGCACCTCTAACAACGTATCCTCCGCCAAACATAAGATCTCCTCGAGGCTAACTGACCAGAAGAACGGGCAGCACAGCCAAACACTCGGGTTGAAAGAACCAGGATGAATCCTCACTTTTCAAGGAGTAAAGCGCCTCTTGTGACACCGGTCTTACCTGAAATGGCGTAGTCTGCATTCATGACCCTCATGGCAGGGGTGTAGGTGACGGCGGGCATGCTCGAGTCCTTCCCCTTCTGCTTGTGTCTATAAATAATGAACAACGCCAGGAGGAACAGAACAACAAGGACAAGGATGACGATGCCCGCGATGGCCCCGATCTGGTAGGAGTCAGCAGGGAGAGCCGTACTGGTTCTGCTTAAGCTGTTCAGATTTCCAACTATTATAACACCAGCTAGCAAAGGAGAAAAAGAGATGTGACTGAGGATGATAATGTGCCGGAAAAATATCTGATCTCTATTTACAAAACTCTCCCACTGTGCTAATGCCTGGATATTTTTCGGTTCATGAAATGTTAATGTGGAAACTTTTGGAAACAAAGCAGAAAGGAAAGACAAACATTCCTCATTTTCAGATGTTGCTCGCTTGTCTGTGCCCGGAAAAAGGCTGCTCTAATCCTCAAAAAAGAGACAGGATTTTCTGAACCCAAGGACTCAACAGTAGTGTTTGGGAGCTTCTCACGGATTTCTGACTAAACATTTAGACAAGCAATTAATTGGGGGTAATAATTTATCTAGTTTTTACTGTCCTTTATTTATCATCCACTATAGAACTTATGAATGGCTAACTCAAGTGCCTAATTTAATTATATGTCTACCCTTCGCATTTCTAAGAGGAAATTTTCCTTCTAATCAAGAATAACTCCATTATAAATCTAGTCCAAGATCAGAATCTGCCTTTCCCTAATTTCAATGGGCCTTTAACCTCAGAAGATATGTTCTATGCAATTATTTTCTACATCAAAAAGGTCGGTCCCAATAATCCCTGATATCACAACCTGAAAATCTTACTCATTAAAATTCTAAACTTAGGTTTACATAGTTCCTCCATAGTTCCATCAAGTGAAGACACAGATGATATGGACTGGGAGTCAAGAAACCTAGCATCTAAAAAATTGATCCATACATTTTGAACTTTGCCTTAAGCTCTCAGGCTACAGTTCATCATGTGTAAAAGAAGAAACTGGCCTCCGTGAAGGTACCTCCAGCCCAAATGTCCCTATGACTTTACGATTCTAAATGCTGGACCTTCTTATCAGACAGCCTGCCCTGAAAGGTAGAGCACCAAGGCCAGTGTGGTGTGATTACACTGTGATGTGATTGTGGAATATAACATCATATTGTTATGATGGTCAAATATAAATCATGAACAGGTAAAAGTTATTTTATGAAAGAAAATTAAATACAAGTACCCACATAGTTTACAGTCTCAGATGACTCTACCTATAAAACTATATGAATTTTCTACAGCCTTTACAGCCCATGTATTTAAGACATAGAGAAAGCACCATGTGTGCTAGGAGCTCTCTGGAGGCCACGCTTCAGAACCACCTTTCTCAAGGAAGCCAGAGTCAAAATTGCCCGAGGAGGACTATGTATACTATAAGTATTCCCAGGTGGCTGTGATATACATCCTAGTTAAAACCCTGGGCACAAGTTTCTTGAAAAGTTCAACAGGAACCTACCATATGATCCAATCATTCAACTCCTATGAACTTACCCAAGAGACATGAAAACATATGTCCACATAAAGACTTGACACACTATTGCTTACAATTGCTTAACCTGTAGTAGCCAAAAACTGGAAACAATCCAAACGTCCCTCAACAAGTGAATGGGTAAATAATTATGGTATATCACACAACAGAATACTACTCAGCAATGAAAAGAACTGAAGTACTGATATACACACAACATGGTCCAGTCTCAAAACAATTATGTCAAGTAAGCAAAATCAGACAAAAAGAGTATACTATGACTCCATTTATATGAAATTCTAAGAAATGCAAACTAATCTATAGTCAAAAAAAGTAGATCAGTGATTACCTGAAACCTAGGGGATAGTGGTGGCAGAGAGGGAAATCAGGAAACTTCAGGGGGTGATAGATGTATTCATTATTTTTATTGTGGTGATGGTTTCATGGGTGTATACATCAGATTTTATCAAGCTGTATACTCTGTGTTGTACCTATATGTTATAAATGTATGTATCTATGTACAGCATAATTATATATCATATATAGAAATATATTTTATATATGATATAATAAATAAACATACTTTATAATTATATTATACATATATTAATACTTTATGTATATTAATATATATTTTATATATATGTATTTTTTACAGGTTCATTATACCTTAACAAAGCTAAAAATTGTAGGCCCAGCAGAAAATTCATGAGCTTTGGAATCAGACAAACCTGGCATCAAAGCCCTGACATGTTCTAGATATCAGCTATGTAACCTTGGGCAAATTCCTCAACGTCTTTGAGCTTTAGGGTCCTCAGCTGAGTAATTATCACATACCAGTATCCTCACCTTGATCACATCGTGCCCCCTTCCATCCTGGGCTGCAGTAACAGGTCCCGGTGATGTGGTCGCAGGTGGAGTTGTTCAGACAGTCACAGATCTGGCGACAGCCATAGCCATAAGTTCCCGCAGGGCACTCTGAGAAGGAGATGAGAGCCCAATGTAGCTCTCCAGCCTTGGAAGCCTGAGGCAAGCAGCTTACTGTATGGTCTGGTGTGTCTAAAGGCCAGCCCTTCCAGGGGGCTCCTGTTTAGGCAGATGTGTACCCACCAGGGTGTTTGAGAGCTGGCTGGCATTCTCTGAGTCATGGTGGGACTCACGAGCCAGGCAGCACAGGGCTGGAGACTGGAACTTCATCACAGTTCCCGGCAGTTTCAGATTCTACGTACCCACTTCCCGGATGGGTATGTAAAAAGTCTGTGGAACCCAATGGAACTGATGAAGATTATCACTGAGGGCAATTTGAGACGACTCCACCAGGCGAAACTGTGGGATTGACGGGGACTATACCAAAAAGTATAAACAAGAGATGCTTCCCCCAGAACATGTACATTTTGCTGTAGGCTTTAGGGCCCTCCTAAAGGCATATACTGACTTGGATTAGCTGGGAGGAGGGGAAGAGGGAGAGGGCAAGTTATGTTAATTTTCTAGGTAAGAATTTCATTTCCCACAGAAAGCTCAAAATCTGGATTCGTAGGTTGAAGACTGACAGATTAAAATAGTGGGATTTTTATGATGTAGTCGTAATAAGAGTTGGACATGAATTTCAAAGAATAGTCAAGGTAGGTTAAATCGAAAACTCACCATGACAAAATACTGATGCTTTTTGTAAAGTGAGCAGCAGAGGGCAATGTGCTATTATTTTCAGAGTCCTCTGCCAGATATAGGGTTTCTGTTTACAGATGAGCATTAGAAGTCTCCAAAAATAGGGACATTTTAATTTGATGTTCAGAGTAATCACGGAAGCACTTCAGATGCTTTTATTTAATAAAGACTATAACCAGTCTGGCATTCAAGCGAAAGTCAGTTTAGAGCCCATTCTGGTTTCTACACATGTATGTGTATAGACACTTAGACATTTACACACTAACACACATTTACACACACACAGGGCTGTGCAGGCAACTGTGTGACTCAGTGTCTGCTTCATGATTAAGAGAACTAGCAGTGTAAAACTGAAATGGGGCCATCTCTGTCCAGGCTGATTCCTGGCCATCACTCTTGTTATTTACTAGACGAGAGGATATGCAAATATACCCTAGAGTTTAGCATGTAAAATTGAAACAACCCAGCTGTCCAGGGGTGCTGTGAGGTTCTGAGGAGGGGAGATGGAAGGTGCGTGATGCTTTTTTGCCAAAGTCCAGCTATGCTGATCAAACTTTCTAGGCCACATTGCTCCTACGGCCACGTGATCTTTGCTGCATCCGTCTCAAGAGCACGCCCTCTGTAGGCAGGAAATGTCCTGCACTGTGCCTGCCATTTATGATGAAAGAGTGAGCCCCAGACAGCTCTCAGACCTTAGTGATTCATCCTGAACCTTGAATGAAAGTCACAGACGAAAAGAACAATGAACTACTTTGAAATATTCCACTGAAGTGAATGTTCTTCCAGCCCTGTGAGCAGAGGCTTAGCTGGTGGGGTGGAAATGGAAACTCGAGGAGGGGGCTTTCCAACAGAGCAGATTCTCCCTGAATGGGATTAGAAAAATCGCAGGCAATATATTGTCTTGAAGGTTGTTAAGACTAAGATGAAGAGTTGTTAGTGGAAACAGGATAAGAGCACTGGCAAGAGAAGGTGGCCAACAGCATGCAGTGTTTGCAGGGACTTGTCCCCTCACCCAGAGTCAGGCTGGCCCAGTCCCTCTGCCTCCCAGACACCGAGCCTGGCCCCACTACGTTCCCCCAGTGTGAGACCCGGGCCCTGCCTCTGCCATGAAGAAAGCTTGACTGGCTCTTGTAAAGCTCTGAGCAGCCCCATTCCAAAAATAAGAAGCAGAAGAAGAGAGAGCCAGGATGAACAGATGGAAAACTTGAATTCTGTCTTCACCCTTGGAGCCACACCCCCTCCACCCAGAGCACTGATCAGTTCCTCGGGAGAAGAATTTTGAGGAAAAAGACAGCCAGCCAGAATCCCAAGGTTGGCAAGGTGCCTGGAAGGGGAAGTCAACTGCGCTGCTAAGTGCCAGCCATTGCTCAAACTACCTGGAAGCTGTGGGTTCTGCCTTTCTATTCTCAGGCAGATAGGAAAGCTGATTCTAGGGGAGAGCATCGCACCCAGAGATGCCACGCTCCCATACTCACTCTGCTCACAGTGCTTCCCCATGAACCCGGTGCGGCAAGTGCACTGCCCAGAGATGTGGTCACAGTCAGCTCCATTCTGACACTGGCATATCAATGCACAGTCCTTCCCATAGAAGCCCAGAGGACACCCTGTGCGAGGAGGAAGGACAGAGAGTCAAGAAGCCACGGAGGAGAAACCCAACTCCGCCTCCAACATGTTTGTGTTTGAACCTGCAGGATGCTGAGCCGGAGAGAGAGAAGAAAGACAATAATGCACATTGTGGCTTCTCACAACGGCTTCTTTGAAGTCCCAAGATGGGGCTCTTGGGAGGAAACTATACTTTATAAGCAGGAGGCAGGACGGGTCTATACCTGGGGCAGTTTAACCATCACTGGTACGCCTGAAGGCAAGGTAGTGTCTTCCAACAAAGCATCCCATCAGCCCCATGGAAGTCGGAAGACGTTACCTTTCATTTTTTTCACTCAACTACTAGAATCCTGGACTCAAATTCCATGGACAGAAATGAGTACTTTATGTTAAAATTACCTACCTGCTTTCACTTAGAGTACGGAATGTCCCCCACGTCTGCTATTAGTCCCGTCCGCTGTATCTGACTTAAATATATTATCTCCTTTGCCAAAGATGTGCAGGAGAATTCTAAACTTTAAAAAATCCTGCACTATATAGGTGCTTTGTAAAAAAAAAAATGCAATAAGCCTTCTTACTGCAGCACAATTTTTAAGACCCAGACCACCAGGGCCTTTGGCTGAGGACATGTACAAGCCCTATTGGATTTCCTGGGCCACAGCTGCCCTGCAGGAGTGTTTGGGCTCTTGGCCAGAATGAAAGCTTCAACGAAGGCTGTTTCGATGGCTGTTTCTGAGTATCGCATGTGTTTTTTATTTTCCCTTTTTCTTATAGGGAATTTAATGAAACCTCGACTTTCAAGAAACAGAGGCAGAGCACGGATGCCAGCATGCAACAACATCATCACCACATATTTACGTGGCACCTGCTCTGTGCCAGACTCTCAGCATCCTCTCACTGAATCTCTGCAGTAGCCCAGAAACACAAGGATGGGTATTCGCACCCTAAGGATGGGAACTGAGCTCCGAGTAATCGAAGTCACACAATCAGCAAACAGCAGGGTAGCAGGGCCATGGCACAAACGTCAGGGGGTCTGGCTGCAGACCCCACGTTCTTCCCACTCTGTGATGCTACTTTTATTTTAAAAGGTCCTCTGACCAAAGCAGATCCTAATTTTAGAATTACATCCAATAACTTACAAACACTTTTCTCTAAACAGCTCAAAAACTTTCTGTATGTACAATCTTGGCAGAATATGCTTGAGATAACCTTCCTCCTTGCCAATTCATTTCAAATCACAGCTCAAGGTCTGTACCCCCTTCTAGCAACTTCCAAAAGATGTGTTCAGCCAGCCTGTTCTCTAATTACATTCTCTAATTAGTGTTGCATAAGAATGGCCAAATTTCTGACCCATCTTTCCTCCTCAGCTCACTGCTGTGACTTAAACTACATATGATGATTACTGATAGCCGGAAGACATGCTTTCCTGTCTTGCTTCCTTTATTCCATTGAAGGCAAGACGGCAGAGATCAGTCTGTTTTCCCAACATTGCTGAGCTGTGGAGTACTTTGTACCTTCTACCCTATGATGCTAAATACCTCATAGAAGAAGAGATAGTGAGGACATTATGGGATGGAAAATGGAAAATGGAAAAAAGAACTCAGCGTTCTCAAAGCATGATCCCAGACTGACATCACTCCCTGGAAGGTTGTCAGCAACGTGAATCCTCGAGTCCCGCCCCAGACCTACTGAATCAGACACTCTGGGAGTGGAGCCAGCAGTTGTGTTTATCCAGCCATCCGGGAGGTTCCAAAGCTTGCTAAAATTCAAGAACCAGTGAACTCCGTCTTCTCCAAGAGCACACATTAGATCAGGCAGTGAGTCTCGTGGTGTTCACTGCCTTTCTAATCACTGCCACTAGTCCTAACCTTTGTGCTGTTAGGACTAATGACAGGGAATTTGATCCACATAAATAGGGTCTGGTTAAAGGAGGCAAGAGAAAAAAACCTGCACACCATCGCTGACAGCCACTGCTTGACCTCAGTGTCCTGACATGACTCAAGGAAAGAAAACCTGGAAAGTGGCAGCTCTTAGCCACCTGGAGGAAGTTGGATGTCTAGAGGTCACTAGGTGGTGACACTCTTCCACGTCAGAAGCCTTGGCGAGCTCAGCTCCTTCATGCACAGGGTGGGGCTGCGCGTCCCACTCCCACCTTGGGGGAGCCTCAAAAGGTGTGCCACTTACTCTGCGTGCAGTAGAGCCCCGTCCAGCCCGGAGTGCATTTGCATTCCCCATCGTAGGCGCTGCAGAAGGCCCCATTGTGGCAGTTGCACGTGTGGATGCAGTTTGGGCCCCAGTGCGCAGGTGGACAAGCTGAAAGCACAGCACGCATGGAAAGCGCCATTAGAGTCCTGAGGCCAGCACCCAGCAGAGAGGATTCCACCGCCTTACACTGCCCCTCGCAGGTGACAGGTCAGCCATGTGCATCAGGACCAAGAGAGCACAGCGCTCCACATCTGACTCAAACCCAGATGGCAATGCTGACGGCAACGGGAACCACCACTCCTGATACCGTAGCCATTCAGACTGAGGAGGGAGGCAGGCAGAGCCAACAGCATCCCAAGTTTCCAGATTTAGTTCCTTGACAAATGCACATTGAGCACCTCTATGCTCAGCACTGTTCTAGGTCCCGGAGGAGACAGCAGAGGAAAAGACAAGGTCTAGGTCATCCTCTGAAAGCTTGTATTTTAGTAGGGGAGGTGGGCAAACCAACCAACCAGCCAGACAGCCAGCCAAAAGAATAATGGCAAGAAGAACTATAAGAAAAAATAAAATAGGGTAAGAGGAACAAAAAAGATGGAAGCCACTCCTTTAGGGAAGGCATCTGAGGAGAGGATATTTGAGCGGAGATCAGATGTGTGAAATGATGTGACTCGAGAGAGGTTAAGGGACCCAAGGTCCTATAATTCACGTCTGTGATCCCTGGATCTGCAAGTGCAGGTCGACACACAGTTGTCACTAGAGACTTGTTTTCAACGCAAAGGTCCCCCACTGTATGTAAGAACTGGTTTACTGTAAAAACTCTTAATTGGAAGCAGAAAATCATCGAACTAAATCATTAGGGGTCACTGCCCACTGAAGAGCAATCAGAACCTCAGATAAAGTATCTGTGAGAGGAATGTAAGGTTATGGGGTAAAATGATTTGATTTACCAAAAAAACAAGCCAAACCAAACCAAAAAACACTTTCCACTAACGCTAATGCTTCAAGGACATAACTGCTTAAAAGAAAGGTCACTTTTAATTTCTATATGGTTACCCAGTAGGGAACATAGCCCAAGAAAGGTAATAAATAAAGTTGAAGTGATTTAAAAAATGAAAAAAAAAATTCTTTCCATAATTGTGTGTACCATTTTTGTCCAAGAGCAAAGGAAAAACAACAGCTGACACTTGAAGTCTAGAATGAAGTTTTGAATGGATTTTCCAAGTATAAGACCCTCATTTTACAGATGAAGGATCACTGAATAGTGATAAGCCAAGTGCTACCTATTTTGGTTCTTTCCAAGACATGAATTAGATTTAAATATAGGACCATTGCATAGAACTCTTAATGGGGGAAAAAAGCCACTCAGAATTTAAAAATCACATATCTTATTATTCATATATTCTTTCTTGATTAAATACTCATACTTCAATCCTAAATAATTTGAAAACAAATGTCAGAAAATGGTTGATCGGTTGTTTCCAAACAAGACTTACGTTGAGAGCAGTCACTGCCGATCCACCCTGGATAACACTGACAAGATCTGTCGATGGGGTTACAGGTCCCATTGTTGGTACAGGTACAAATTCCTGCACAGTTTTTTCCAAATCTGCCACTGGGACACACTGTGAATAAATTATAGATCAGAAACTCACCATTATACCTCATCTCACAGAACCCTAGACTCTTGGGATAGTGGATGACTTGAAAGGGCATCAACCCAGCTGTCCATGTGGTGGCTACCTCTACTCAAGAGCATCCCTCATCCTGAACAGGCTCATTGGTACAAACACATGAAGCTAAAGACCCTCATGAAGGCATCACAGACCAGGAGATATCACCACATTTCTAGCAATCTTCGTGGCTTCTTCTCAGGGAGTCAAAATCCTTCCTTAGAGTGATTTTTTCATGCAAGGCTGTTTCCAACTAAAACTGAGAAGTAGCACAGCTCAGAGAATAAAGAGATTCTGCTGAGCTTTTCCAAAGCTCAAAGTCATATTTACAGAAGCTGCAGACACAGCACACCAAAAGGCACCGCTAGCTGCTAGCTAACAACACGTCCTTTGGGAAGCTTGAGGACAGACTGCACGGGGCATGCTCACCACCCGTCTCTCCACCACCCATCTCTCCCAAGGCCTCACACCCTACCTTCATTGCAGAGGGCGCCAGTGAAGCCAGGTAAGCAGTCACACAGGCCTGTGATGTGGTGGCAGGGCCCACTGCTGTGCACACATTGTGGGCACGTCTGGCTGCAGCGATGCCCATAAAAACCAGGAGAGCAGACTGGAAACAGACAGGAAATTGACAGTTATCTTCCTTGAGAGGCATTTCTTTGTATTTCACATAAAGATCCAGTTCATGTTTGGGGTAAAAAAAATTTTTTTAAATGATACTGAGAATTTTCCAAGTATAAAACAACAACAAAAAGAACAAGAACGCTCTTTACTAATGAAAAGAAGCCAGTAAACTCTGAATTGCTTGAGGGCAGGCAAGTGTCTTAGTTCTCTTTATTTTCCCATTTATGGCCCCAATTAGCACGAAGCTTGGCATAGAGCAGAGGCTTGAAGAATTTCTGTTGAGAAATAAATGAAAGAAAGCAATAAAATTCTAAATACTAATAAGGCCCAAATAAAGGCTCTTGAGCCACATGTTAATCCTTCATTCTTTAAGAGTCACTACTGGCCATAAATAGATTTATAGTCAGAATTAAAAGTTTGTTCCTCTTCAAAATGCTCCAGGTTAATTACTGTGATTGAAAAGTGAAAAAGCACTTTAGATTTAAGTATAGAATGGACTGCACAGAGCTCTTAATGAAAAAAAAAGTCATTTAAAAAACAAAATAATGTATCTTATAATTAGTCCTATATTCCTTTCTGGATTACATTTACTAAAAGCTTCAGTGAAATCTTGTGGATCACTCCCTAACTCAAAAATCGTATTTATCAATCATGTCAACAGCTCCCGTTTTTAACTCTGCAACTCTGTTTTCCCCGGAGCACTGGCTTTCAGACCACTAGCGGGATGTATGATTTGCCACAGGGTTTGGCTGATGTTGACTTCTGGTAATTGAGGTACAGCCAATGCCAAAATGGGCAAATAAAATATTTACAGGTCAATGGATTTCTAGAACACCATTTGCAAGATTAAGGCAGGATCAAGAAACTGATGGTGATGCCAATGAGGCAACGAAATCATTACTGAGAAGAAACGGCTAAAGTCCCATCTGTTAGCTTAGTCCTGAAGGTTGGAAAGAATGAAGCCTCTGGGGAACCGCTATTGAGGCCAGCTCTGCAAAGGACAGGGTGACCTACGACACTCTCCTCTGGCCTTAAATACAACAGAACATCACTATGAATCGAGGGGCAGGACAGAGATAATTCTGTACACAGTGATCTGAGTCAGGAAGCTGGAAACCGCTGTCCAATGAGACACTTACTTCTCTGACAAGTAGTGCCTCGGAACCCTGGCGCACACTCACAGATGCCGTCGTCGGGGGAACACGAAGCCCCGTTTTTACAATAGCAGGGCAGGGAGCAGTTGGGGCCCCAGCGTCCCTCAGCACACACACTGTCACAGTGGACACCTGAAACGAGACACACAAGCAAGGCTGAGTGAGAGGCTGTGGGGGCGGGTGCCTGGGATGCTAAGCTGGAGACCAGGACCAAGGTAGCCACATCAAAAATGAGTTATCAAGAGCAGCAGTGAGCAGGGATAATATGAGGTTAAAGTCCACTCATACACATCAGTACATCATCATGTATTGTATGGTCATACATCGTATCAGCATAACATTAAAATAATCCCAGAACTGTTTTCTATAGCATCATAAAGGAGAAGGAATAAAACATTTCTGTCATACTGATTTTTCTTCTTTAGGAGGAGAGAGCAGAGAAGCCCAAAGACTCTGTCTATGAAAGGCAAAATTTATCAGAAATACTGTATCATTTAGCCCTCAGTGACTTCTTCCCTCCCCCATCCTTTGTTTTTACAGAGAAATGGGCAGAGGGGGAAAACAATAAAATGAAGCAAAAGGTGGCTGAATTGTTTTACATCAAGAAAATCTTCCCTTGGAGCAAATAAATAAATACAATCTTAAAATATTTTGAAAATACATTGTGCAAGACAGAAAGATCTACTCATCTGTGCCACCAAATTCCTCTTTAAAAATTTAATCTGCCAGTGGGCAGACACAGGCAGACTGTCACAAATGATGTTTCCTATAGTTGTTGTCTGAGCTATTATCATGAACCTACATACAGGTGTTTAACTCTTAGTCTAGAAGCAGAGAAACTTTAGAAGCAGTCAGGAGTGAATACATACCTAAAGGAAACATAAAGAAAAGCCAAAGTTGCAAATAACTAACTAAATAAATAAAACCAGGTTTTACGTGAGGTGAATGCAAGTCTCTTTTGTAAATTTGTATTCGAAATACAACAGGGGCCTCTTTCTTGTGAATCAGAATACTTCACAACTCAAAGGAATGCTCTTTGCATTGAGAGGCAGTAAGAATGAGTTATAATTAGTAGTTGAACTGGCAACTGCTGGCCTTGGACCAAGTGAAAACACGTTAAGAACAAGCATGTTCACACTGTGAGGATTCCAGAACACGAACACCGCCCGGCACCCAGGAGGCTGACGAGCCCGTGTTTTGTATTAGTTTTTGCTCCTAAATTGATTAGGAGAAAAGTCACTGAGGCCCGAACCTTAACACACAGAAGTAGCCCCAAACCATAACATGGACGTTGCTAATCGGGGGGGGGCATCATTTCTGCTGAAGTAATTCCACTTTTGACTGTTCCTGTTTTCCTCCTGAAAGTCTTCCGCATGGCAAAGGCTGTGAAGTAGGCGTGAAAGAGCACAGGCCTCACTGTGTCCAGGCTGCACTGACAACAGAATGTTATTTTATCTTGAACTGCTGGCTGAAGAAAGGCGATCAGACCAACTGGGGTTTAAGTATTCCCCACAGAATAAAATATGGAATTTTGGCATACTAAAATATTTTTTCTTGAGTTCACAAATATTTGATTCTTTTTTCAAACCTCTTTTGAAAGCCTGAGATGGAAATGCAAACTCTATGCTCCCCAAACGTTTTAGTAGATATAGAGTCTTTTTTTTTTAAGAGAGGTACTGGGGATTGAACTTAGGACCTCATGCATGCAGAGGAGGTCCTCTGTGAGCTACAGCCTCCCGCTTACCTGGTGTTTTGACTCATGGCTCTACTAAGCAGAAGCAGCAAATGGGTGGAGGAGTAAACCACTTTGAAAGGAGGCTGCAGACCTAAAGTTTGTTTTGCAAACTTGAAATAAGTCCCAATAAAGGTAACCCACTACAGGCTTCTCTCTCTATTCAAATTCAGGTCCTGAGCTCTGACTGTGAGCCAGGACTCCTATTAATAGCAGCCAAAGTGGGGATACCTGCTTCACAGAGATCCAGACAGGCCCGGCCATTTGGGTCTGGAGCTACCCACGCAAAGTCCAGTCAGGATTTTGGAGAAGTGGAAGCTGAGTGACTATCTGGTTAATCTGAAAATCATCCTGAAAATGAGTCCTGATCTTTGACCTATTTTGTGGGGTAGGAGTTTAGGGGAAGGCAGAGATTTAGCTATTTATGGTGATTTAGTTTATCAATACTTACCAAATCTTTACATTACACTTAATATATGCAGTTCAGATGGAGTGGAATACACTTTACATCAAAAAGTATATGCTTCTTTTCCACATTGCAGATTATCATGATTTATGTACCAACCAGCACATTCTCGAGAATGTGAAGAAAAATGTCTCCAGGGTAGATTGGCAAATCAGAATAAAGTGATCCTTTATTTCATATCTGATTCCTCTTCCCTAATAGGTTTGTCTAGCTGGTTAGCATAACCATCAGTTACAATCAACTTTATGGGGTAATTGTCATATAACAAGGCCCCCAAGATAGCAAGGAGGTCCATTGCAAAGACAAGGTCGTCTCACATGATTTACCCATTATTTCATTTTCAGAGAAGCATAGGGAATTCTAAAGATCATCTATCAAACCTTCTGCCTCCAATCATATGAGCATATTTCAACAGAACCAAGCTTACTTTTAAATAACTTTTATTTTAGGACTGCAAAGGTGTCTTTTCCTGGAAATTCTATTACCAACTGTCTCTAAAAGTTCAATTCCTTTTCTTTTTCTCTGTCATCAGTAAAAAGTGAGTCATTATTTTGCAGCTATCAATGCCAAATCTATTTGAAGACAAATACAAAGCAGGTCTCAGTCAGGGGGCAATTCCAGGAAAAAGCATGAGGCTGTCTTCTTTTCTTCTATTGCTATTCCTCCCCTTTGGACCTCTGTGCCCTCTTGTTATCTTTCGCTTCATCTTATAGTCAGAAAAGGATAAGCTAAATTCATTATTGCTTCTCTAGAAAATACTAGTATTTTAAGAGAACATACATGTTAGGAGCCAAAGAAATAAATCTCTAATTGTGGAATTTCAGGTAGTGATGCTCACAGAGAGGGAATGGGGTAACTGTTTCTCTAGGTCATACTCAGTATATGGCCACTGATGTGATCTCCATATAAGGCTAACCTTACAGTGAAAGTCTCCACAATAGGAGACTGTAAGCTTGCTTTAACCATTTTTTGGGGCTGTGTTTTGCGTGTGTGTTTTATTCCTTAGTTATTTCCAGTGATCTCATCCAACCTTGCTGGCATCACATAAGACATGTTTTTTTTTGTTTGTTTTCTTGCTTGCCAAAGACAGAAAAGAGAATTCAGCTCAATAAACATTCAAGGGATCTAGAGACTGCTGGTTTGTGGTGAGAAGTTCTTTAAGAAAGACCTCCAACTCTAGAGTGACAATGGCACCAGAATAGTTATCTCCAACCCTGTCTGGGGATCACGATCAGGGATGGAGGTAGCTTGTTAAGGTGGACGAGGGTCCCAGACTCAGGCCCTAAGAAGTATGTGTCTATCCTTCAGAAAGTGCTGGGGACAGCTGGGAAGAACAGAAAAGGCATCTGGGCAGCCAGGTAGTGGTCACATAGGGAAGAGCCAAGAAGGCTATGCTGTGGAATGTGAGTTTCCTCCTGGTAAAAGCATGGGACCACATGGACAAGAAAGTAGGAGAGGGGCACAGTTAGACTGGTGTTTTGTAAGAGGGCAGATGATGGTTGAAGCTGATGACCCTGGAAGAAAGACCTGTCAGGTGTCAATATTTTTACCTGGCTATATTACCCAGGTAAAAAGTGATAAAAATGACAAAGTCTTGAATTCAATCAGTGGCACTTGGGATGCAAAGGGAGATGAATTCCAGAGAAGTACAGGAGAGAATGCAGATGAAAGTCCACCCCGCTCCACCCTCTACCCAAGGTAATGTATGAATTCCAGCAGCTCCATGAGGGAGAGACGGTGCCTGCTTTTGCTCACTGCAGTGCTTGGCACATGGTGGGTGTTAAATAATGTTTGTTGAATGAGTCAACGAGCACAGATCCTTCTTCCAACATGATACCTAGGACCATTTTCCAAATGGATGGAACAACCATATCATTCTTGGCTTCTCTGAAGAAGTGACGAGAAGAGTACTTAATATTTTGTGCACCTAAAATGGTGACCCTTCCTGGCTATGGCGCTGAAAATGTCTGCCTTACTCATTCTGGGCAAGACGTACTTTGATGAACTCAGGTCTGTGTTTTTAAATGTTAGTCCAGATTATAAAGTCATGGGAGAATATGGGACATCTTGAAGAAATTCTTTGGGAATGTTTATCAAAGTACAGATAAAGGCTTTAACACGAGTTACTTCAAAATACAACTTCCTACAATATTTGGAAGGAGGGGCAAAATCAGAAAGGGGTATCTTTAAATGTGCAGGATTCTCTGGTTCAATAGAAGCATTTTTTCCTGATAAATGTTCTAACGCTGATAAGGAGATCTGTGAGGGACTGTTTTTGCCAGGACTGAGGACAAAGAGCTCTTTGATAGCCTTCACAAGTTGCTAGGCAATGGCTGAGTGATCATGATAAACTTCAGCTAAGCAACTCTAAAGAAATGTTCATGCATTTAATGCCTGGTGCATTATGCCAGCAGCCTCAACGTGAAATCAGCATTCACTAGGCATTTGTGATTGCATGAATGTAGTAAATAAATCATCTGGCATGTCATTATTTCCCCTCTCAGAGATATAACCCAAACGCCTTGTCTTGCTTAATTGTTTATATTCCTTAGACCAGTACTGCAATATTTGGGGTGCTAGTGAATGAAGGAAATGATTGTGATTCAATGTCTTGCTCCCAAGCAACAAGCTATTAAACACATATTAGAACAAAGAGTGAGATTAGTTAGTAATAACTGGGCTTGGTGATGACCAGAGAGAGGAACTCAAGTATTTAGTCCTAATGTTGTTTCTGCTTTTCTAATCCTCTGACACTGAAACAGAGGCACGCAGCATAGAGAAGTTACTGGTGCATCCACCTCTGCCCACATGGTGCTGCCCTGAAAGACGTATCCTCCTGTCAGCCAGGAGCCGGTGTTCCCTCACCTTTCTGTTCCCAGTACTGAAGCACTACGGTTGCATCCAACATGGAGACACTCAACAAATGGTTGTTAA